GGCCACAATGTCCTTCTAAAACAAAAGAAGATAGGTTAACACTTCAGAATAAAATATTGGCCTGGGTTTTTCCCCCTCCTTCTTTCAAGTGATTAAATGAAGGATTTCAGGGTCAAAAGCCAGTATTACTAGTTCATCCTGTATACTTGCAAGTATAAAAACTGAAGTTTGACAGGATCAAATTAATCATCAAAAAGCCAAGACCATGATTGATAAAGTCCTCCAGTCAGACATAGGAAGTACAATAGGTAGTCATTGTCTGAAACAGCTTAATGGCATTCTAGACCTCTGTTTAATTATGTGATTAATCATCACTCAAAGTACTTAAAAATCAGTTTTGCAGAGACCATGTTGCTCTGCTCCTTTAGCTCCCCCTCTCCTCCTCATCATTTTACACAGCAGCCAGCCTCTTCTGCCCTTTCTTCCACCCCAGTTTTATCCCATCGCAGCTCCAATTTTGGAGCAGAATTGCTCCAAATGCAAAAAAAATCAGTTTTAAGATTTGTAACTTCCCTGCAGGCAAGGAGCTGGAAGCCCATGTCAAATACAAACTAATCCTAACTTCTGATCTATCAAATACTTCAATGCCAAAATGAGCGTAAAATATATGACAATTTTTTGTACACCTAAAGCTCCAATTAAATGTTCTTAGATATCTATTTTAATACCCTAAACCTCACTCCTTAGTTATATATCACAGCCTTCTGAAGCAATCACTGGTTGCAATCTGAATAAACTTATCTGCCCTGACCTTCTCACCAATAGCAACTTATCCTCTCCAGCCCAAGTAAAAGAAGTCCACCTATTTGTATCAGTCTCCCCTTAGTAACACTTAGGGAGAGTTTCATTACATCACAGCATTTTCATTTGCAAACTTCACAAAATTTCTCTTATTTTGAGGCTTACAAACAAAAACAATACCTTGTGACAGGCTGCATGAAAACAAGCAGAAGAAATGGGAGATCACCTCTTTTTCTGTTGAAGGTAGAATAATTTCTCTTCCCGTACATTATATCTCAGAGCACTGTCAAGTTTTTAAAATAACCTATTTAGAAGAATAAAACAAATTCCCAGATCCTCAGTTTTCTTTCTTGTGGGCACTAAGGATTAGACAGGTTTTTTATGAGGCACAGGGATGCTTTTCATTTATCTTTTCTGTTACTTCTCACACATACTTCAAATGGTACAGCATGACATGTGACAGTAGCGTCCAGTATTGTTGTGCTACTTTCAAGATTAGTAACTCAGTTTTGCACGCAGCTAATGACTGACTCAGCTGGCATTTGCCTGAGCAGCAATGGAAGCGTGCAGCACAAAAATAATTTTAATTTACATCATTTACTGTGATGATTTTTCTCCAAGTATCTGAAACTGTTAAAGATAATAAAGATTATAAAGTAATTAAAGTAATGGTTGCAAGACGACTGGAAAGTCACTGATTCTAAAGTATTATTGCATGTAGGCAAGAGAGGTAACAAGCAGTTTGGACCCTGGATATTCATGCAGTTGTTGCCACAGTAAAAGTTATAAAAGTTGTTGTTCCACAAGGCTTCTTCCAAAAGATACAGAGATCTTGCATTAAAAAAAAACAAAACAAAAAACTGGGAAAAGACTGCACAGGAGATCAGCATCCTCTACCTATTCCCTCTCACAGTAATTCCTTTACTTTTGATTTTGTCTGTAGAACTAGTCTTTATATTCCTTGCTGACAGACAGATTAGTTTCTGACTAAATGATTTCTATTATTGCCACTCAACTCTGTGCACTGACTCATAAGAATCGAGGTGATTCAACTTCTTTAATCAAAAATCACCACTACACTTTAACCTGAACACACACCAAGTGTAAGTCACAGAAGTAACTCATGCATCTCAAGCTCAAGTTTAATCTAAAAAAGCCTAACAAACTCAGAGGTCAAATAAACAAATGCAGACTCTGCATGATGAATCTTGGCCCGCAAGATTAAAATATCTGAGCACCAGTTCCTTCTTCATCGGTGGTTACTGAGGGTTGAAAACACTAAATGGAGTTTAACTTATAAAATAGAATTCGTTTTTACAATTAGCTGTGAACTGCAAATTGAAAATTATTTTCCTTGAAGTGATCCCAAAAGGCATTACTCTAAGCCTTACTCTCATCTATTATGTCACGTGGGTGTACAAGCTTTCTGGCACCAGCCTCAAAAATATGAAATCCTGAAAAGGTGGCAGAGTCAACTTACCACCTTTAAAATATATTTATGCACAAAGTATTCACCAAAGCCTGTACCAAATACATTTGGCACAGAAAGCCAAAACTTTTTGTTCTGTATTTCACTTCTAACAAGAGCAACTGCTCTAACAATGTGCAGTATCAATAGAAGATGACACTGAATTATTTCTTCTATCCCTGTTGAAAAGCTGGCTACTCAGAAATGTGATAACAAAACACAGAATGGCTTGGTTTGGAAGGGACCTGAAAGATCATCTAGTTTCAATCCACTGCCATGGGCAGGGAGGTTCCTCAGAGCTCCATCCAGTCTGGCCTTGAACACTTCCAGGGATGGTGCATTCACAACTTTTCTGGGCAACTTGGTCCAGAGCTTCATCACCCTCAAGATAAAGAATTTTTTGCTAATATTTTATCTAAATCTACTCTGTTTCAGTTTAAACCCATTTCCCCTTGCCTTATCACTCCAAGCCCCTGTAAAAAGTCTCTCTCCATCTTTCTTGCAGGCTCCCTTCTGGTACTGGAATGCCACAACTAGTTCACTCCAAAGCCTTTTATTTTCTCCTGGGTGAAAAATGTTCCATGCCTCTTGGTGTCTTGGTGATCATCTTGGTGTCCCTCCTCTGGGCTCACTCCAGCAGGTCCCTGTCCCTCCTGTGCAGGGACCCCAGCTCTGGATGCAGTGCTCCAGGTGGGTCTCAGCAGAGCAGAGCAGAGGGGCAGAATCCCCTCCCTGCCCTGCAGGAACTCTGGATGCGGCCCAGGAGACATAACACACAGATTCCTTTTGAGCAATCTATTATTGTTATATGCTGTGATACAAAGGGAAAAAATATAATGAAGGAAATGGTTTTACCCCCATGCACTTTTCACACTGATTCTTTAGCTGTTATGACAGCCTTTACTGTTTGCTCAAAAGCAGATATTACCTCTAAAGGCTGAGTGGCTCAGTGAAAAACAGAAACATAAATTATAGCTTATTACTTTGTTAGTTCATAAGACACTACCCTTGTTTGCCTGCAGTATCACGAACATACTATCACCACAAATAATTCTGTCACTTTGGAATGAATAGCATCAGACAGGGAGTTTAAATTGACAAGCCTATTAGAGCAGACTTAGCTAATCCAAGTGATGCAGGGAAGTTATGCTCTTTTTTTTAGTGTCCAGGTACAGCCAGTCTTTTCCTGTCTCATTCTGTTTGACTTTGAAGAAAGATACAAGAGGCAAAAAGTGAGGTAGAAAGAAAATAAGCAGACCACACAAAGCAAGTACGCAGCATGCTCCTGAGGATCTCCTATTTTCTCTCCACACTTAAAATTACTACATACAGATGTTATTTCATAAATATGTTATTTCATCCAAAAAAGAAACCTGGAACACAGTAGGCAAGAACAACTTCCTCATTCTTCACAGGCGAATCTAAACTAATTTCTCCTGTCTAGCCCAGCAGTCACCAGAAGGAATGAAAATTCAGGGAGCTATTTGAAATTGACACCAATATAAACATTACCTTTAGACACTCCTGGTTTTTCAAATCCAAGGTTAAGTAGATATATATTTTTACTTGATGAATAATAAAATGAAGCAGCATTCATATTAACTCTTAAGGCTTCCCATTAACTTTACTTTCCCAGTATCACAGAAGATTGAGTAACTCCCCCATCAGTTTCCTCCTGTTACCATTTTGCACTACCTTGGGCCAGCAAGCAAGAAGTACAATTCAGGTCTATGAAATATAGGGGGGTCAAGTTGTTCTTTGCTTCTTTAATTTACCAATCCATATTACACAGCAGTAAAACTTCACCAGCAGTCATGACTGGGGATTAAAAATTCCTACATTCCTCCTTTCATTTCTCATTCCTGGAAAGGAACAGACTTCTCTTAAACCACTGACCTGTGAACAACAGAAACATATTCCTGTGTATTCTGCAGCTCTTTATGCATAACTCGGGCCTTAGGTCATGTAGGTAATTACTGATTCACCCCTACCAATACTCTATGCCTGTCTAAAGTTTGGTGCAGACTCAGATTCAAGACCTCAAACATCAGAGAACCAATACAAAATTTGTACATTGCTGGTGTGAAATAAATCAAGGAAAGTATTTTACTAAAGAAAAGGAATTTTGTATTTTATTCAGTATATTTATTTATACTAAATAAAGGAATTTTGGAATTATACTCTTCCCTTCCATCATAGTGCATTAGTTTGTTTTCACTAAAGACTTGATCCTGAGTATTACAGCACCAATATTTAAGTTATTTTTACTTATACTTTTACAAAAAAACCCCTTGCTGTTGATGCCCTGTACTTCACTTTCAGGCTAACTAAATAAAACTCTTTAAATAATCTGCTAACAAACACGGAAAATCTGGAAATCCTAAATTCAGACCATGGATTAGAAGGGAGTTATTTTATGCTGTAGACAGAACTCACATGGAGTGAGAATATTTTATTAAAAATGCTGACTGCAAATCTTGTCACCCCAGAACCCCTTAAGAATTCAAGTTTCAAACTCACTGAACAGTTCTGGCTGGAGAAAAATTGAGGGGTAGAAAGGATCAATGACATGATAAACATATCCCAGCAGTCATAAGGAGGATTTAACTTTTCAGAAAAGAACACAGATGGGTGGCTCCTGTGGTGTTTTGATTGAGATGCTCTCATTTTGCATAATCTTTTCTTACAGAATTTTAAAAAGCCTGGCAGAAGGAAAGGCACACGCCACTGAAAAATAGCTGCTTAAAAAGATTCAGAAAGCAAATAGGCAGGAATCCAGCAAAATCAGTACCATTCAGTCCACATGCTTGTTCTTTTTCCACCAGGATGGCCCGTCTTCTCCTTAGAGCATTATTTGCACCATAGACAATATGAGGATGGGGTGTTCCCTCCTTCTGTAGATGCTTTTTAATGGGCTCAATGAAGTAATCCCCATGGGGCAGATGGAAATATCCAGTCTGAAAATAAGCACAAAAGAGTTAATCTCTTCTGTCCAGTACTAGAAGTCAAAACAAATATACTCCATACCACCAATCCCGAGCTTTCCTCATAAACCAGTCATTACACTGGAGAAATATGAACACAACAGGTTTTCAGTATTTATTTTGCTGCATACATCTAGGCTGTTTCATACCTCATAGCCATTACAGTCCAAAGGGAAACAGAAAAAATATCTCCTTACTAATAACCTGAAACTGAGGCAAAGACTCTCATATTTTTACAAAGCCACTAAAAGGTCAAAAGTTGATTTGCCAAACATGATGCACGAGGAAGAGCTGCATCTTGTTCTTCTGGTGTTTTGCATCCATTCCCTGGAGATCAAGACCGGAATAGAAGCTGTTTCATAAGTGTAAATCGAAATTCTGTTCCCAGCTGCAGTCCCACAATCAATTACCCAACCCATCAGATGGGCTGGACCGTGTGGTCCATGTTTGATTCGGACTATAAACCCTCACTGGCCCCCAGCCAACACTACAATGGAATAAATGAAAAGTTTTTCATAAATTAGCAAGTCATTAAGAACATCCAGTAGATCAGCTAAAGGCTGCAACATTTCACATGTTGAAACTTTTGTGCCAGCCTCCCTGCTTTGCCTAAGCTACAGGGCCCTTAATACCCATCTGGACTGCACAGGATCCTTTTACACCTCACTCTGCCATGATCCAGGACAAACTTCCAACCAGGCATGGCCTTGGCCCATTGTGTCTCAGCATTTTGGCAGGGACCGCAAACATTGCAAAACCATTGCATTGCCCTTCCACGTCAAGATGTATGGGGCAGTATTAAACCTAAAAGCAAAGGATCTACTGACAACCCAGACCACACTGGGGATGTGAGAGGAGGCTGGGGTATTCCAGTCCTACAGCTTTGCTTCCCCTTCACTTTCTTGCTGTGGTCAGTGCACCCCTCTTAGCCTATTCTGGAAGAGTAACACTGTTTTCCTGCAGCTGCTGCATTCAAACACAGATTGACAGACAAATTTTTAAATCTTTTTAAATACTCCAAAGCCTTACAGTTTCTCTGGATGGTTGGGAAAGCCAGTATGAGGGTAAGGATATGAAAGAAATCATATGATTGTAAGGAAAGCACTCTTATAATATAAAATAACCATGGGCTCTATGTACAAGGAGACAAAGGGCAGCTCAGTGAGATACTTTCTGCCTCCACACCTACTTCCACAGGCCCAATACAGCAAACCTGTACAAATAAGTAACTGTGACTGTCATTTTACAGTTTACCCAACAGTTCTGAAGATCACTCTTTCTTTCCAATGGAAGTCAAAGTTTTAAAGCCAGAGGTTGGCACTGTTTTGAAGCTGTGTTTATACCCCTAAAGCATCAAAGGTTCAGGACTCATAGTCACATGTGTTTGTTCATCTGGGATACAGCTACTACCTGTATGGGTTTTGTTTCATTTTTAAGAATAAAGTGATTGAGACTTCTAATTATTAAACAACACACAAAAAATACTCATGTTTCTTTTTAAAATATAAATCAAGGCATAGGACCAGAGTCACACTACAGAAGCAGCAGTTTTATCCACGTTCATGTTGGATAAAATCCTTAGACAAGAGTGAATCCATACAGCAAAAATGCATCTACAGTGGTCAGACCAGGAAATCAGTGATGTGGCTTTCCTCATGCTGCTCAGGGAATCAATGCACCTTCCCAAATCCTTGCCCATTCATTTTCATTCCACAGGGCTCAATCTTTCCTGGATATTTGTAATTTGTGACTGGTTTATTTGATTATTTTATGGGGTTTTAAGCCAGTTGGGACCAGGAAGAACTAGCCATCTTCATTTGCAGACCCTGATTTTTTAGAGCAAGTGGCAATAGTTGCTGGATTATTGTGTCAAGGTCCACCTGCAACAAGAAAAGCCAGACAATCCTATAAAAGGTGAACTAAGCCTGTCACTGGTAACCTCAAGCTCCCTCATCAATGCTTGCACGTTAAAATTCAGCTGTCTATCCAAGCTCTATGGAGCAGGGGAAAAAGCAAAACTCCATTATATGAACGGGACCATAAAAGACCATTTCCAGCACAAAGGGGCTTTCCAAAAGCTTCCAGAGACTTCCAGCACTTACTAACTCTTGCTTTGCATTTGTACTTTCACCCTGCACAGGCTATCCATCAAGAAATTAAATGCTGACACTAACTGAGTCCGAAGATAAAAAAGACCAATCTTCACATTAAACTTACTTCAAAGCACTGAGGACTGGCAAAATTCCCTTTGCTGATTAAATACATCTTTAGTTTTGCTCCTCATAGCTGTTCTTTTCTGACTCACAAATATAACAGCAAGAATTTTTCATTTAAAGTCCAACAGATATCAAGCTATGTAAACACAATATAAGCTTTTCTGAGGAATTTGTAGCTCTACCTGCTTTTGAGTGCATTCACACAGCGTCAGAATACACAAAGGAGGGCAGTTATGAAAGCCTCATCAGAAAAAAGCCATTCATATTTACATTTATGAAAGGGTTTAGTTATCACCACAGAAAAAAAATTACTGCAGAGAAATTTTCCTCATTAGAACTTCCTTATGAAAAGCTACTATGCAACACAGCAACAGAAATGGTAAGAAAATAGGGGTGGGGGTGAGTGTTTGGGTGGTACATGCTTCCCTCAAAGCCTACGGGAGAAAATCTACAGATCTACCACAGTATTTTTTTATAAACTGTTGTTCTCCCCTCTTTCAAATCCCACTCTTTGCCCTCAGATTCTGACATGCTGTGGCTGCAAATGATTACCATACTGTATTTGGGAGTGCTGCTATCTCACTTAATGGGATTTTTAATTCATGTGCTTCATTATTTTGACACAAACATTCCCTGAACACATCACATCTCCTACACTGCATGTCACTTGCCAAAAGGATAATGATGATTCTGGAACACTTCTGACCTAAAGTTTTCAACTAACTGTTTTGATTTTCAATAGAATCTGCATTTTCCAGTGGAAAGCACATACTTTTCACATATTTCTTTTGGTCAAAAGCTTGGGGGTTTATCAAAATACATTTTCTGCCATACTTTTTTCAATCAGTTCCACGTGGGAAGCTGAAGCTGAGTCCTGTGGGAAGGGAAAGAGCAGCTTTACCCTTGGCTATGGTTTTGAAATTGCAATACTACCCCAGACAGGAGGGCCTGGAATTAGTGAGCGATTGTCAGGAGAAAAAGGGAGGGAAAAAATAGCAATCTGTAGTCTAAAGTTACAATATCTGAGAATGTTAACAAAAATGCCCAAAAAAAGTCTGTAATGAGAACAGTGGGTAACTCCCTGAAACCAAACAATATTTCTGACAACAAATTTCATACAATATTTTTAACAACAGGATAGTGACAGAATCTGAAAATACAGTGACTTTTAGAAGCAATATGAAACTAAAATAAGAGAACAAGTTCCTGGTTTTACCTTTAGGTACTTTGCTCCAGGTGTTTATTATAACTGTAATATATGGTAAAAGAAATTAGGTCTGAACACGAGAATTAAAGAAAAAATTGCGACATATGAAACACGCATTACCAGAACTGCAGCTGCAAATAATCTAAACTCAGTTGGTGAAGTAAATGATCTGTTAACATCACACACGCTAAATTTAGTTTAGCTAATCACTTAGCTCCTTTCTGTATGTCCCTTTTTTTCCCAGGGATCTTTATTTTTTATTAAATTTCTCATCTGTTCCTATTTCAGCCAAAAGAATAACCTGGCATCCAGATGAGATTTTTCACTACATCCTCAGAGAGAGCTAGAAAAAAAATACATCTGCCGTGATGTTGCTCAGAACAGAAAGAGGTCGGGGCTTTTAGGTCCTGAGTAATTTGATAAAAGACTTTTATGAACACCATCCACAGAAAAGGAGAGCACTATAACTCTTACACACTTCTACAGAAGAAACCTATGCTTTTAGCACGACTTATGAAGAAGGTGTTATGATACTGAAACATAACCTTGAGGTTTAACAAAGCTTTGGTCTGGCATTAAAATAGCTTATTTTTATGACAAAGTAAGTAAAAGAACAGAATACTATAATTCTATAAAATTTTACATTCTTTTGTCACACTTACTGTAATATTTTAGGAACTGCCAGAAAACTGGCCAGAGGTACAGAGTTATGCCGTGGACAACGTGAGCTCAAAAAGTTCAGACACAGAGGATAGGGGGGAAAAATAGCCAAATTTACAGCAAGATGGACTTTTGTGGAATAAAATATCTGGAGAGGAAGAATTGTCTGACATCCTCCAGTTGCCAGGTTCCTAAGGGACAGACATCAGTTCTGGACACTTCAGAGACATGGGTCTTTCTGGCTGGGGGCACATCCTCAGCCAAGGAGAGAAGTCAAGTCTCTAGGGCCATGTCTGTCAGCTGCCATACAACTACTTAAGATGCACAATCACTCAGCTGAGAGACTTGGCAGAAAATCAGTACTCGGGGTTATAGCACCAGCTTGATAGTGACCACACCTGACTTAATTTCTTTTCACTCTTCCTGAAGAGTGAAAGAATGAAGGTTATCTAGGATAAATCTTAAGAATCTAAGGCATTAAAAAACCCCCAGCCTTTATAAAAACATGTAAGAGAAGCAAACAGTCCAAAATATACCTTCATCTGCTCCTCTGCTGTGTCACAGATACACTTCATTAAATAATTCTGAATCAGGTGTCACTTCTATGGACCTTGAACTCACTGCAAGCTTTGCATCTCATACAGAATCTGAAGCAGCCTAGGTGCATTCATTTCTACTGAAGGAAATTCTCTATGAAATTAATGTTCTGTAGAGATTGCAGCATGCTCACTTGAAAATGTACAACATGGAACATAATTTTAAAAGACACCTTTGTTCATGCTTCATTCAGGTCATGGCATCCTCCACTACCATCTTTATGGTCCATCCTAAAAACATTTTTTACTTCTTTTATTTTGTGTTTTTCCTTAAGAATGAATAGTCCAGGTATC